GGTGAAGTTTAAGATATATATATGTGTGTATATATACACATATACACATGTATGTGTGTGTGTATATATGTATCGATATAATGGTACAGAAGAATGGATCAGTGTGTGTGTGTGTGTGACTATGTATATGTATATATATATATATATGTAGAAAGATAGACATACACACAGAAGAATGGGTACATGCGCGCACACACACACATACACACACACAGAAGAGATCAGTCCCGCTGATGTGTATAAATCTTCTTCATTTAAACTTGTCCCAAAGTCCTGCTTCTCAACCCCGACCTCCACAGTTTAGAAGAATCTCTGGCTTCTCATACTTTGGTGTCTACACTTATTGGGGCAAGCTATGACCTGCATCTATTTCTTTCCTTGCCTTAATCCCTTCAATGCCTTCTTCCTCTCGGGACACTCGGTGCCAGTCACTTGCTCTCTCCTCTTCTGGTCTGCCTAACCAAAGGCTATGGTAAGTTTATGAGAAGTGACACAGGCCATCCTATCAATAGATGCCATCTCCAATTGGCCCTTCCCTTGGACCTTTTAGAGAGGCCCCCACCTTTAAATTGTTCACATAAGATATATACTATGACAAATGACTTCTATTCCTAGGGTACACCAGAGTTATCAATTTGTTACAAGAAGAATTTATCAATACTAAGCCAATCTGGCTGCAATAATTGTGATTGGCTGAATGACAGGTGCAGATGATTTGTAATCTTAGACCAGGCGTTCTTACCCTTGGGTACATGCACTTCTAAGGGTCTTTGGGCAGATTTGGACAGGTCTGTGGAAATAGGTGGGAAAAATTCACCTTTATTTTCACTAACCTACAACTTAAATTTAGTATTTCCTTTAATTTTGAAAAAAAAAAAGTATTCTGAAGACGGGTCCATAGATTTCACCTGAATGCCAAAGAGGTCTATGATACCCACAAACATGTTAAGAATTCCTATCATAGATAAATCACTAGAGGTGTAATGGTATGGTGGTTAGAGCACTAAACTTGGAATCTGGAAGACCCAGATTCATAATCTCACCTCAGACACTTGCTAGCTTTGCAACCCTGGGCAAATCACTTAACTATTCTGTACCTCAGTTTCTTCATAAGTAAAATAAAGGGGTTAGACTCAGCTTCTAAAATCCATGATCCTATGACCTCTCCTTCACTTCTCTACATTTCAATTTCTCCCTTTGTTGAATGATGAGGTTAGAGCAGATGATCTCTAAGATCCCTTCAGTTCTCTATCTGTGATCCTCTGATCCCATGATAAACAATTAATGATATTATGTCAGCAAATAGACTTGAAAGTTGAGGAAATTCTAAATATTAGTAATAGTCAATCCACATATTCATCACAACAGCCTCCAGACATATACCATGTATGTACTCAAAACAAAAAAGACGAGAACATCCATTAGCAAGTAACCCTTCCCCCTCCCCCTCTTCCCCACTCATTAAGAAAAGGTCAAACCCAAAGATAAATGTGTCCGAACTATCTTGGAACTAATTGGACTTGTGATCAGAACTGAGTTTAATTTTCAACCTCTATCTTGTCTTTTAGGTATTTTCCACAGTCCTGTCACAGGCCTCAACCACCTGAGACTAAGCAGTCAACCCCATTGGATGGTCTAGATTTACTTCAAAAGCCAGTGAGCATTGACTATTCATTCCAAATCCTGTTTCTCTAAGAACAGAACGTCTGAGAGCCAAGATGGTAGAGTAAGCAGTAAGTTGCTGTCACTCTCTCTCATTGATCTCTGAAAAAACTAGAAAATAGTGCCCCAGGAAAAATTCTGGAACTTCGGAGCCATCAGAAAGACTGAGTGAAACAATCTTTTAACAGGGGAAATTTGGAGGATTGGTAAGAAAGACCTGTTTCATTTGGGTAAAAGGGAAGCAAGTTCTAGGACAGCAGTCATCCCACCAAACCAACAACAAGTCCCACCTCAGCATACCAGCAGGAGATCCTGAGCACCAGGGTGGTGGAGCAGGCAAACACCAACACCAGGACCCCATATGCCCTCGAATGGCTAGGGAAACAGGCAGACTCAAGTTCAAAGAACCTCCCCATGCTTTAGTGCAGCCCTGAGAGGGCAAGGTGTCTTCCAGCAACTGGACCTCCATGTGCTCCAGTGCAGCCCAGGGCAAGCAGGCATCCTCCAGTGGCCAGACCCCCATGTACTTCAATGTAGCCCCAGGGAAATGAAGAAAAACCCTATCAAGCCTCAGCATATGCCCGAGACTACCACTAGAACCCCAGCTCAGCACCAGGTAAACTGCCGGACCCCTATAACCTCCAGCTGCCAGCACCTGAGACCCCAACACACAAAGCCAGTAACCAGACCCCTGGCCCCCAGCACAAGAAGCTTGGGACAGAGCCCCCTGTGCCCCAGAAGCAGAGCTCAACATTAAAAGCCAGGAAATAGGCAAACCAGATGAGCAAGAAGCAAAAAAAGAACACTGTGGGAACAGGGAAGATCAAAACACCAACTCAGAAGAGGGCAACATTGTCAATATACTTACATCTGAGACCTCAAAGGACTATGAATAGGCCTCAAGCCTAAAAAGCCTTCTTGAAAGAGCTCAAGAAGGATTTTAAAAGTCAAATAAGAGGTTCTTCCTATTGGTTCTAATTCTTCTCTACAAAACATGACTAATGGGAAAATATAATAGGAATATATATGTAGAGCCTATATCAGATTGCATACTATCTTGGGGAGAGAAGAGGAGAAAATTCAAAACTCAAAAGCTTGTGGAAGTGAATGGTGAAAACTAAAAATAAATTAATTAATTTAAAAAAGAAAAAAGGAAAAAAAAGGTACATAGTCTCCTTTGATCCTGACCTGGGCAGTCCGCATTTGGAGCATTCTGTCCTGTTCTGGAGGCCATTTTTTAAAAAATCAAATAAGAGAGATAAAAGAAAAATTTGGAAAAGAAATGAGAGGTATGAAAGAGAGAGCCAACAGCTCAGAAAAAGAAGGACAAAAATTGACTGAAGAAAACAACTCCTTAAAAAGTAGAATTGGCCAAATGAAAAAGGAGGTACAAAATCTAATAGAAGGAAACAATTCATTAAAAATTAGAATCGGGCAAGTGGAAGCTAATGACTCTATGAGACATCAAGAATCAGTCAAACAATATCAAAAGGATGAAAAAATAGAAGAAAATGTAAAATACCTCATTAGAAAAACAACCGACCTGGAAAATATATCTAGGAGCAATAATTTAAGAATCATTGATCTCCCTGAAAGCCATGATCAAAAAAAGAGCCTGAACAGCATCTCTCTAAGAATAAACCACAAAAGATTAACTCCCCAAATTATAAAGTTATAAAACTCATGGATAAGGAACTACGGTAGGACAAGTATCCACATTCAGAGGCCTATGGAGCTGAAATTCATACTGAGGAAGATGAAAAGATGCCGAAATTCCTCCACTCTTACTTTGGTTCTTAGAAAGACCTGGCTTCTTGCAGGAATACAACATGATCCAAGGCCTGTTGAGTTTTTTATATAAAATTTTATATCTTGAACATTTTTATCAAGATGAATCTTTGCAAGCCTTTATTCCTAGAGAGAACCTTCTTATTGTTCTCCATAATACAGCCTGACTTCTTGATTTTTAAAAGTCATAGGTGTTATGGAGGGGGAAAAAAACTTTGTTTCTCAGGCAAGATTACTCAGATTTTCTGTTTTTTCAAAAATAGCTGACCAAGTTAGAAAATGCTTCTTCTTTAGCAAGAGGCTCTCTCCCTGAAAGGATTGAATCAGTGGACGGGGGAAAAAAACAAAACACATCACATTGGAGAATATCTATAAGGTTCAGATATTTACACAGTGCCTAGATTGACTTATCCTGCTATAAAACACAAGCTGAGGCAAACGCATGAACTGAAGGGTTATGTAAGTGTTCTTTATATTAGCCTAGGTTTAACTCCTGGACACCATTGTTCTGGTGACAGGAGTGTACATTTTGAATGAAAAAGGAGGAAGGAGAAAGCAGGGGTACTGAGATACTTGAAGTAAAAGGAAAAATGACAGTTTGAAAATAGAGTTGCTTAAACCCTGCTGGCTGGTACATAAGGTTAGAAGTAAGCTTGCAATGCTACATATAACTGGGTACCTGGCCACCATATTTGGTATCCAAGAAGCTCATTTTTGAAGTGGGCCAGTCAGTAAAAGTCATAGAGCATAGGATGTTAGAACTGGGCCAGACCCCATGACAGCATGGAAAGACCACAGGTTCTAGAGTCAGAGGCCCGCATTTTCAAATCCCGCTTCTGATGCTTACCTGTATGACCTAATGAAAATTATTTCACCTCTCTGGGCCTCAGTTTCTTCATCTGGTAAAATGAAAAGGCTGGATTTGATTGTTTTTATGGCTTCTTCCAACAGCTGAGCTTGATACCATATTGAACGTCTGCATTTGACAAAGGAGGAAACTAAAGCCCTAAGTAAAGACATGATTTGCCCAAGTCAGTGGCAGAAGAGGGACTCCTGTCTGATCCAGGTGTCCTGACTTTCAGTGTGGGGTTCTTCCCGTTGTCATTCAATATTTTTAGTATTTCAGGAACAGAAGGACAGTCCATTGAGTTGAGCAATGTGTTAAGCAAAGTCAATGAGAGATAAGTAAGAAGTGAGAGGGAGGAGGATAAAATAATGACTATGGTCATAAGATAATAAACCATTACTAACTGGAAAAGCAATTCCCCTTTGGGAGAAAAGGGGGAAAATGCATAGTGTAGGCTTGGAGTTTAGCCCCTCCTTCCTTAGTAGGGATAGGGATGTATGTGTGTTTAACCTTGAACATGCTAGTGTGATGAGTTGGTTCAGTTGGAGTCAGTAGTATTGCATCAACCAATCACTAAATAGTCTGGCACATTTCCTCGTGCATCTGCCCAGAGTCACTGGGTGTTTCCTGTTGAACCTGAGCTACTCTTCCAAGCCAGACCAACTCCCCCCCCCACTCCCCCTCTGTATCTTTCCTCTTGGGCCTTTGCCAAGAAAGTACCTGTTGCCAGAAGGTATAAAAGTCTGACTTCCCTGAGTACAGCAACCACCCTGGTGGCCTGAGGAGTCCACAACAGCTGGCAAGTAAGTCTATCAAATGTTAATTTCTTCTAGTTTCTCCAATGGTGGTAATGACATTTCCCTGCGGTTTCTCAGGGAGGTGACGGATTTGGCCTGGCCTGGCATTTTCTTGGGTGAGATTTTCTGGCCATCATAAGGACTCCTTTCCACTGTGGTCAGAAGTGAGAAAGTAGTGATGGAGGGCTCCCTGAACCTGAGACTTAACTCAGAATACTTTAGAGCTGGAAGGGACCTTAGAGACAATCTAACCTAAACTTTTCATTTTATAGACGAAGGAAATTGAGGCTTGGCAGTGACTTGTCCAAGGTCACACAGCTGGTTAGCGACAAGAGCCTAGGGTCTCCTGATTCCAAGAATACGGTTTGAGAACTTGGTCCTATATGAGAAGATGTCCTGCTTTATTTTGAATATGGTGGTTTGAATGCAAGGCAGTCAGGATTTCTTCTTTTCCTGAGTGGATATCTGCTGGCAGGAGGCTAGATGTTACCTGACCCTCTAGCAGTCCAGGCCAGAACTGACGGTCCACAGGGAATGCTCCCAGTCTGTCTCAGGACCAGTGTTTGAATCTTTCTTTCTGCTCACAGCTGGTCTCCATCAAGCATGTGATCAAGCAGTTCTGAGTCCCAAACTGGGTCATATTGATTTGGCTTATTCAGCACTACTGAATCATATTGTATATTTAATAAACCATTAGAAGCCCCAGACCCTGTGATTAAGGCTAGAGAATAATTTCTAGCATTGAATAGCTAAATAAACACTTTACTTTCTTGGGGTTTTGGGGGAAGGGGTCTTGAATTCCCTGCTCAATATGAGATGTATCTCCCTCTGTCATAACAGAGCAGTCCATGGGGATCTTAGTTTGTATTTTCTTTCAACCTATTCCAATATTCTTGGGCAAACTCCTTCAGTGTGGGATTAGGGAAGGATTCTGCTGGATCTGTTGCATTTAACCCCCCACCTCCACCCCTCGTAGACCTTCATAGTTTGTTATCAGGTTTCTTTCCCACTGAGTCACTGCTCAGTCAGATTGGGTAGCCAGAGCCCTTTAAATGATCATCTGAATCCTGGGGCATGGCCTGGGAATGGGTGACCTCTCCCTTTTCTGCTCTCAAGTGTTTTGCTGCTTACTTTGATGTGGAAACATCAGGACCTGGCTATGACCTTATTCCCCAAGTCAACCTCTGTTGTCACACATTTTTCTGCTGAAGCACCCCAAATGTCACATGATCATAGATGTAGCACTGGAAAGGACCTCAGATGTCATCTAATCCAACTTATTGTACAGATGAAGAAATGGAGTTCCCAAGACTTATCCAAAACTATGAAGGTAGTAAGTAGTAAAACTGGGACTCAAAGCCAAATTCTAAGACCCCAAAGTCCACATTCTTTCCCTTGTACCATTATGCTATGCTGACCACAATGGTCATGGGTGCTTAGTATTTAAAACAGAAAGGGTACACAGTGATCATCTGAAAGGCCACTAAATGTGGAGTCAGCTAAAATAATATAGTAATTGTTGTTGTGTTGTTTCAGTCATGTCTGACCCATTGTGACCCCATTTGGGGTCTTCTTGGCAAAGATACTGGAGTGGTTTGCCCTTTCCTTCTCCAGTTCATTTTACATATGAGGAAACTGAGGCCAGCAGGGTTAAATGATTGCTACTGTCTGAGGCTGGATTTGAACATAGGAAGAGGAGTATTCCTGACTCCAAACCCAGCATTCTATTCACTGTGCCACCTAGCTGCCTCACAAGAATAATAATAATAATAGCTGACATTTATATAATGCTTTAAGGTTTAAAAGTGCTTCACATATTATAGGGCAGTTAGGTGGCTTGGTGGACAGAGTGTTGGGAATGGAGTAAGGAAGATCTGAGTTCAAATCTGCTCTCAGACACTTACTAGCTGTGTGACCCTGGGCAAGTCACTTAACCTGGCCTCAGTTTCCTCATCTGTAAAATGAGCTAGAGAAGGAAATGGCTAACCACTCCAGTATCTCTGCCAAGAAAACCCCAAATGAGGTTACCAAGAATCAGACACAACTGAAAAATGACTGAACAACAGCTGAATAACCTCCTTCAAATTGAAGGGATATTAAAATCCCTAGGCTCATTGATGTTCTTAGCTCTTGAGTCTCTGAATTTCATTCCCCACCCAGAGTCTTTATTAATTTATATAGAATTATATGTTCAGATTCAGTTGGTCTTCTCTCCATCCTACACCCTAAAGATGCTTAATTTTGTTCCTAAAAAAAAACAAATTTTTTTTTCTGTTGCAATAGGTTCAGTGGAGAGCCTCTAGGAACCTCAAGAGAGGGGAAAAACTATGGGAGGAGTTTTTGTTATAATTATCCCTCTTTTACAGATCAAGAAACTGAGGCAGACAGAGGTTAAGCGATTTGCCCAGAGACGCATAGCTACTAAGTGTCTGTTTGAACTCAGATCTTCTGGACTCCAGGTTCAGTGAGCCACCTACCTTATAAATGTATACAAAATTGAAGGTGAAGGGGGAAAATATTCTAGACATTTGGGAAGGGGGCAACCTGTGCAAAAGGCAGAAGATGGAATAAATTTCACTTCCCCAAGGGAGAGGATCAGAGAAGGAAAGTCAAGATCATGTTCTAAAATTTGGTGATAATTATTAATCAAACTTCAGTTTGATTCCAGACCTGCCTCTGAAACATACTAATTCTTTGACACTGAGTGAATTATCTCACCTCTCAATGTTCAGGCAACTCTCTAAGATACTAAGTTGCAAATCAATGCTGACCTAAGATGGTAGAGGGAGATTCCTTACTGGGAGTTCCAGGCATTTGAATACCAATTAAGGCACAGAACCAGTCCAAAAAGAAAAAAGAATCCCTGGGAACTTTTTGCCATTTTGTATTTCTTCTAACAATAGATATGGACAGTACAACTATCAAATGGAAGTCCATGAAATAGTTGGACCCTAAAGAGGGTTCCCCATACTAAAAACATTCTGAACTACTACTCCAGAAGTCATCTAGTCTAACTGATTCATTTTACAGATAAGAAAACTGAGGTTCAGAGAAAAGTGATTTGCCTAAGGTCATGCAGATAGTGAGTGGCAGAGCCAGGACTAGGGTTTGAGTGTCCCCTGTGTTTTTTCTACTATGCTGCCATTAGATATCCTGACCAGCCTTTTTGCTCACCCACAAATAGTAACACTCTAGAGTAGACTGTGCTAAGGTCATAAGCCCCTTTCCTGATCTGTCCTCCCCCAAGTTGTTTTCCCATAATCTTGCTCTTTTGGGGCCAGTTTGGTGGTCCCAGTTGTTAATTGTCTTCCCTCATCTTCCAAATATTTTGTATCATTTTGTACATGCTTTGTATTTACATGTTGATTTTCATTGTCCTCTTCTCACTGTCCCCTAGAATATAAGATCCTTGAGGAGCTGTTTGATATTTTTTTGTCTTCATATTCCTTAAAATAATGCCTTACACAGAGGATGTCAATAGGGACTGATATGTGATTTCTTTGATATGAGGAACTCTTTCTACTGAGGCAAGTCAAGACCTTTTCTGCCATAACTTAAAATCTTAGAGAAATGCATAGGTCACCAAGAAGTTAAATTACTTGCCTAGAGTCACATAGCCAGTATGTGTTCGAGGTAGTGGAATTTGAACCCAATGCCTTCCCGACTCAGAGGCCAGGTCTCTAGCCACTACCTCATGCTGCCTTTCAACAAGTCCTTCCAGGAAAGTTGATCAGTTATGTGCTAAATTACTGCCATGAGTGATACAAAGAGGTATAAGAAAGTATCTTCCCTCAAGAAGCTTCCACTCTAGTTGTGAGATACATACATATAAAAAGTCATACATACAAAAAAGATAAGTCTTACACAAAGCTCACACTTCATCAGTTTGTGGAACTGAATTGAAGGGGCTTGGAGGTCTCCCAGTCCAATTCTTTCACTTCACAGAAGAGGAAACCAAATCGGTGTTATAGTAAATGATTTGCCCAAGGTCACACAGTGGGTGGTAGGGGGTGAAAATAAGACTAAGGTTCTCTGACTTGAATGCCAACCCTTGTCTCAAGACATGGCACTCTGCCAGAACCTTCCCAGAAATAGAAGCTCTTGATCAATAGGGAGTGAAGACATTGAAACACTCTAATACCCTCCCCCAAAGACCCAATGGTAGGAAGCCATGATAGACTAGGGAGCATAGGGAGAAGAGAGCTATATCAAGGACAGAATAATTATCAACATTTACTTTCTCTGAGAACAGCTACCTAATGGGAAGTTAAAGTACCACATCAGAGTAAAGAAGGTGGTTGTGGGAAGCAAGGACCTCTTTGCCTTAACCTCGCTAGTAAAGACCTCTGCTGGTCTATAGGGGTATGTGCCCTAGCAGGAGGGAGGCAATGGAACACTCTGTGATACCAAGAAATCTAAGGAAATGGTAAGGAGGCAGCTGGGGAAGACCTTATGGGGGATACAGAAGTTGTCATTAAGAAATATTGATGGTAGTCATATGAGAGAGTAGGGTGAGTAAGTAGGCTGATGCAGTCACCATGCAAATGGCACCTGGTAACTGAACTGTGGATTAAGGACAACCCCTTCCTCTAAATACCTGCATCTAGAGCCATTTGGCACTGGCCATGTACTGTTGGTTGGCTGGTGTTGTTGGTTACCCCTTTCTGTCCACGTCCCATCTCACAGCTGGAGGATGAACTTCTCCCAAAAACAAGGACTGTCTCTCACTTCTCTTTGAGTCCCTCACAGTAGTGACTTAGCACATAGCTGGCGTTAATTGAAAAAACTGGGAGGACTTGTTGAGAGAAAATGGTGTAATGGTTAGAGCAATGGGCTTGAAATCAGGAAGACCTGGGTTCTAATTATACCTCAGAAACTTGCTAGTTTGGTGACCCTGAGCAAATTGCTTAACCTCTCCCAGGCTGTTTTCCCCATCTGTAAAATGAGGGTAATAGTACCAGTAGTACTTACCTCCCAGGGTTGTTGAGAGGATTAAAATTCAAAAATGTCTGTAAGGCATTTTGCGAAACTTAAAGCACTATATAAATACCAGCTGGTGTGATGATGATAATGATGAGTGCTATTGATTGTGAATCTAAGTTTGGACCGTCCAAAAATACTACTCCCTCTTTATAGTGAAAAGAACAATGAAGTCAGATGACCTGAGTTCAAATATCTGCTCTGCCACAGCCATGTGACCTTAAACAAGTCATTCTACCTCCCTGAGTGTCAGTTTCCTCATCTGTAAAATAAGGGAGTTGGCTTAGATGACCCAGCTCTAAATCTAATCTAAATTAGATAGCTAGGTGGTATAGTGACTAGAGCAATAGACTTGGCAGTCAAGAAAACCTGAGTTCAAATCCAGCCTCAGATACTTATCTATTGTATAATACTGGTTATTTAACCTCTATTTGCCTAAATTTTCTCATCTTTAAAATGAAGATAATAATAGCACCTACCTCCCAGGGTTGTTGTGAGGTTAAGATGAGGTGATATTTCTGAAGTGCTTTTGCAAACTTTAAAACTCTACACAGGGTGTCTCAAGTCTTAGTACAATAAGACTTTTCAGACACTGTGCATAAATACTAGCTGTTATCATTATTATTATTAATCCAAATCCAACACAACTTTATTAAGCACCTACTATATGCCAGGCACTGTATTAAGTGCAGAGGATACAATTAGTAAAAAGAAAGACAGTCCCTACCCTCAAGGAGCTTACAATCTAAAGGGGGAGACAACACAGAAGGAAGCAGAAAAGCAGGGCTAGGGATGAGGTTAGGACACCAGGAAGTACCTGGCCTAGGGCCATCGTATTCTATGGAGTTGAAGCCAGGCAGGGAAGAAGACGCAAAATGGAGTGACATATTAATGCTCCTCTGAGCCTTTTCCTTTTCCCATTGCCATGTTCTGGTGTTTTTCTGTTTTGCCAGATTCTTTTAGGCGTTCATGAGGTCTCATAAGGGTTGAGGGTAGGGTTGGCAAAGGTAATCCTTGTTGAATTGTGGGGGGGTTTCATTTCAGGGATGAAGCTGTTTGTCCCCTTTGCTGGGCTCCTGGCATCACTGATTTTGATCCAATCAACTGCATCTGCACAGACCTTGACCCAACAAACTGTGTCTGTAGACAATGGTAAATACCTCCTTTAAGAACATACTTGCCCCCTGGCCTGGCCTGGCCTGGCATCAGATCTCACTATGGTAGGCCATAGGAATACTGCCAATCTATTCTCCCTGTACTGTACTTGTGTGACCTGGCTAGTATATTTCTTCCTGAGACCTGCTTATGGGGTAGGGCACTGGAACCATCTCAGAGGGAAACCAGGGAAATCCTAGCCTAAATTCTCTTCCTTTCTCTAATCTTCAGCTTTCTAGTTTAATTCAATCCAGTTTGATTCAACCAACAATTATTAAATTCTTACTATGTACCAGGCATTGTGCTTGATACTTGAAAATACAAAGATAAAAACTAAACAATCCCCAGTCACTCATGGGTCTGATCCCACTACTGATCTTCAAGAAAGCTTTAACCCACTCCTGGGCTGGTTTGCTCTTCTTTAGGCAATGTGGCGATTTTGTTCTAGGGAGAAGAGAGGGTAACCATATTTAGGTGTGGGTATCCAACCAGCTCTAGCTCAACTGCAGCTCAGAAGTCCCAAGGGATCCACCATTCTCAGTTTTCTCAATATCAGGGATTATGGGTGTGTGCCATCTTGCCTGGCCCCCCTGTTCTTTTCAATCCCACAACCTCCTAGTCATTCAAATTGAACTCTGAATCTTAGCGGTGGGAAAAAAAAGTGGGAGAAGGATGGGACACCAGGAAATACCTGGCCTAGGGACATCTTGAAACCAGGCAGGCAGAAAAGGCAAAACCAGGGGTCTTCAGGACCACAGCTAATCTTCTACTCTCTCTTTTCCCTACCATGCCCTCTAAGAAAATAGCAGCAGTGCAGAAGTCATCCATGAAGCCGTGAATGAAGCCAAGAGCCAAGTTAACAAGGCCTTCCTGGCTGGCCGGAACAAGTAAGTGAGCAGGGATGGAGGAGGGGACAGCACATACTCCTCTTCACCAGCCGACAGCACATAGAGAATATGCCTACACCATTCTTGACCATCCACTGGATAGCAACATAATACTTAATATTTGGTAAATTCATTGAATACCTACCATGTGCCCTGCTAGGAGCTGGGAATACAAAACCAAAAGTGAAATAGACCCTGCCCTCAAGGAGCTTATATTCTGTTGGGAGAGACAATATACACATAAATAGATATTCACAGTTCTTAAAAAATAATTGGAGGAGGCACTAGCCGTTTGGGAAGGCTTGATATAGAAAGTGGATCTTGAGCTGAGTATTGAAGAAACCTAGAGATTTCCAGAGGCAGATATGGAGAAGTGAATTCCAGATATGAGGGTGGGGGGAGGGGGACAACAGCCCCATGGATACAGACACGGGAGATGCCATGTTGTGAGGAATAGTAAGAAGGCCAGTTTGACAGGACTATATGAAAGTGAGCAATGTGTAAATAAAGCTGGAAAGGTAGACTGGGGTTTTAAATGTTAGGGAGAAAAGTTTTCATTTGTTCCTGGAGGTAATAGGGAGTCACTAGAATTTGAGTAGGGGAGTAATACAGTCAGCCTTCAGATCAGAACTCTGAAGTTCCATAGATGCATTTGCTCTAGCCAGAAAGAAGACAGTAGTTGGAGAAAATCATTTTGGCAGCTATGGGCAGGAGGAATTAGACTGGGTGAGCTTAAAGCAGGTAGACCCACTGGGACACCGCGGTCACAGTCTAGTAGAAGTGATAAGGGCTTTGACCAGGGCATATGGCTGTCAGAAGTAAGAGTCATAAACATTGCCAGGTCTTCCAGGTTCCTTGAGAGGTCATCCAGTTCAGTGATGTCAAACACAAATATAAAGGTACTAAATCAAACATAAAAGATCTTGTAGGCCAAATATTGACATATTTCTTAAGTGTAATGTTTTCCATTTTATTACATTTTTGTTTATTTTGTTAACTATTTCCCAGTCATATTTTAATCTGGTTCAGCCTGCACACCCTTGTGTGTGAAAAGGATGCTTGACATCCTGCTGCCCTTGGGCAGAATTACATCTGTGAGAAACACAGGCACATATTGCGCTTTTCTGTTCTCTTCTTAAAACTTCTGCATGTTAGACGGATACTACACCTAAATATTCTCGATTTTTAAGCTTATCCCTAATTCAAAGAAGTCAAAGTCTCTGTGTATCAAGTGTCCCAGGAACGTAAATAAAGGTGAACACAAGGCGGTGTATGTGATTTGGGAAAATGAAAGGAAAAGTGACAAAATGTAGGAGACAGGATAAGGAAAAGTTTTCAGAAGGGGATTCACTACTTTAGAAGCATTAGAGGAGTTAGGAGTAGAGGTTCTGTGCCCCCCACCCCATGCCATTGTACTTCAGACTTACCTTCCATATGTAGGGCCAGACTAAAAAAACAAAAACCGCCGATCAGGAGACAAAATGAATCTTTGTCCTTGACTTTTTCATAAAGTTAGTTAGTCAACCAGCAATTATTAAGCACTTAATATGTGCTAGGCTCTGTTCTAAGTACTGATGATACAAAGAAAGGGGAAATGGTTTCAGAGAAAACTAGGATGAGTTATATGGACCAATGTCAAGTGAAGTGAGAAGAACCAGAAGAATGATTTATACGTGAACAGCATTGTAAAGACAATGAACTTTGAAAGTCTTAGGAACTCTAATCAACATAATGACCAGCCACAATTCTAAAGGATTCATGATGGAACAGATTTCCTACCTCCTGATAGAGATATAGTGATAGACTCAGATTGTAGATAAAACATGTTTTTAGACACGAACAATTTATCTCTCTGGGCTATACGTGTTTGTAACAGTTTGTTTTTCTTGCTTATGAAGTAAGGATTGGAAGGGAAAGGGAGAGAGAGGGAGAGGAGGATCTTCATTTTTTTAAAATAAATTTTTTTTCGGGGCAGCTGGGTTGCGCAGTGGATAGAGCAATGGCCCTGGAGTCAGGAGGACCTGAGTTCAAATCCGGCCTCAGGCCAAACACTTGACACTTACTAGCTGTGTGACCCTGGGCAAGTCACTTAACCCTAATTGCCTAAAAAAAAATTAATTAATTAATTTTCAAAAAAACAAGAAAAGGCAAAAACAGTCCTTGCTGTCAAGAGCTCACAACATAATGGAGGAATCAACATGCAACCAATTACGTACATAAAGATATATACAGAGAATATGGAAGGTAATCTCAGAGGGAATACACTGGTGGTGGGAGGTTCTGCAAAAGCCTTCTGCAAAAGGTAGGATTTAGGGGCAGCTAGGTAGCACAGTGGATAGAGCACTGGCCCTAGATTCAGGAGGGCCTGAGTTCAGATCCAGCCTCAGACACATAACACTTACTAGCTGTGTGACTCTAGGCAAGTCACTTAACCCATTGCCTAGGCAAAAAAAAAGAAAAAAGAAAGAAAGAGAGGGGTTCTGTGAGAGAGAGATAAGGAGGGACGGCGTTCCAGGCATGAGGAATAGCCAAGAAGGCACAGAAATGAGAAGGGAGGTGTCCTGCCTGACAAACGGCCAGATGAGCTGAATTGCAGAGTGAGAGAGGGGGAATCATATCCATTGCGGCGGGAAAGGCTGGAGTCAGACTGTATAAGACTTTAAAAGCAAAACCTTTATTTAGGAACCTACTGTGAGAAGCCATGTGCTCAAAAATATCTCCTCTACAAGATAAATCATTAGTTTTTTTTTTTCTTAATGCTAGAATCAGAGACGTAAGTTTGACCACCAAAGTATCTTTTTCACAGCACTTTGTGTATGCCTGCTGGATGTCACAATCCCCCTTAGGGACAGAAATCTCATATCTCCAAAATTATAGTTGAAGAAATTGGAGAGTAATGCTCCCTTGCCTAAGGTCACGTGGAACATGTCCTGTGAGATACCTGAAGCCAATGCTTATTTATAATAAGCTTCGATGTAAAATGCAAACTGATGCATTTTATCATGGCTCCACAGGCGGAACAGAGGTTCCATTGATAGCTGAGGAGGAAGGCAGTGGAATTCCCAAAAGAAATCCAAGAGGGCAGAAAACCAGACCCTCTTATATAGCAAGCATGCACACCACAGCCTGTAACCTTATGGATGATGAATGGAGCAATCCTAGCTCCCTCCAGCAGGACCTGTTGCCCCTGGGTCTCTCCTCCTAACCAATGGTCAATCATCTTGTCTCTTTGTAGGCTGAAGACCGTCCTGGATAGCGTTCCCACTCCTGTCCAGCTGTCTAAAATCTTCAAACAGGCCACAGGCCAGACTCGGGAAGTCTTGCGCAAGGCCCAGGTGTGGGAGGAGTGCCTCAAGATTCTAGACGAGAAAGCACACATGAACTTGGTGACCAGTAACAATGTCACAGGTACAGCCTCCCCACACAAAAAGTCACAGGGTTGGTGGGGAGGGGAGAAGGTAGGAGGGCTCTTCTTGTAGAAACAGAACTCGATATTGATATGTGAAATTTATTTTTTTCCAAAGAAAGGAGATTTGAGAGGATGATTCACCCAGGGAAAAATACCCTAATTTTCCCTTCAAAATGTCATTAAAAAAATGCCGCCAGAAGAGGATTTCTTTGCTTTACCTTCGGGGAGTTCGATGCCTGAAAGTAGCAGTTGTTGCTTCCTTCTCTTTCCCCATTTTCTGTCTTCTCCAGTCTTTTGGATAAGGAAGGAGAATGGTGGAAGCTAAATGGTTACCATGTAGAAATCATTTAACTTTTCTGAAGAAGTAAACTTCAAATAGGATTTGTTAGCCTACAAGAAAACTCTTCGATCTTCAATATTGCAGGCTGTGTTGGTAGCATCACTTACATATTTGTACTTAAAATATGGTTATTTTTTTCCACCATAGGCACCTTAAATGGTTAAGAAAATCATGGTTTTGATAAGAAGATTTAATCCCCGCCCCGATCTTTGTTAGTTAAATATATAAAGTTTGCTTTTAATGCATGTTTAATTTTTTTAAAGACCAAATTGGAGGGGGGAGAGTGGGTTTTTTTTGTTTTTTCTTGTTTCGTTTCTTTTTTGTTTCTTTTTTGCATTATGACTAAATTGAAAGTTTAGGGATATTTTCAGAGAAAATACCCAGTAGACAAAAGATAACCTGTCACTCAATGTCTTCTCCTACCCCTGCCCAAACACGCATCTTAGATTCTGTTTTCAAAAAACATCTCCCAAAACTCTGAAAGAGGAACAGAGAAATAAGAAGGATTGGGGATCTCTAAGATGCGGGGTATGTGAAGGTAGAACCCAGGCTAGTCATTTTCATAAATTTTCAACTTCCTAAGATTAAGTTCATAGCTCTTCAGCTGGAAGGGACCTTGGAAGCCAACTCATCCAGCCCTCTTCATTTTATGGATCAGGAGGGGAGAGCAGATAGAATAAGGATTTATTAAAAACCTAGTGTCTTCCAGGCTAAGTAAGCGTTTCACAAATATCCTCTTATTCACAACAACCCTGGGCAATAGGTGTTATTATCATTCTCATTTTACAGTTGAGGGAACTGAGGCAGACAGAGGTTGAGTGACTTGCCTAGGGTCACACAACTAGTAAGTGTCTGAGGGCAGACTTGAACTCAGGTCTGCCTGAATCCAGTCCTCTATCCACTGTGTCACCCAGCTAAGGAAATGGAGCAAGCTTGAATGACTTGTCTAAGGTCACATGGGTAGAAAGCATAGGTCTGATTCCAGAGTCTGCTCCTTCCACTGTATTATGCTTATTTCTCCTATGCCATTAACTTACCCTCCTTTATTGTTGATGCCAGGGAAAGATTTGGGCAATATCAGAAAGGAAGGGACACTAGCCTTCTGGAATTCCTGCCTAAACTCCCCATGTATTGCTCTGTGGCTCTACAAAACCATTCATCCAAGACCTCCCTTCTCCATGTCCTGAAATCCTCCCCTACCCACCTCCCATCCCAAAATCATTAGTCTCCTATCCCCTGTGCCGCCAATCTCAGGTAATTGTTAGGAAGGAAACGATTTGATTCATATTGAGGTATGTTTAACTTCCCAGGCTTATTAGTGGTCTGGAAGAGTGACTTGGTAACTCAAACAAATCTAGAGTTGGACCTTCAGGCCTCGTGATAAAGGAAGAATTATAGATAGCGTGGGACAGATATCTGGAGCCACCAACCCTATCCTCCTTAAATCACGTCTTCCACTGCCTGTGTGTGTGGAATCAGATGGAATGGGGAAGCCAGTACAATTGAGAATAGATTAGCCTTGCCAGGAAATCAGCAGGCTCCAGGAATATGTCCTTTCCAGAAGGGTGTGCTGGAGCCAGCTCAAACCAGCTTAAGAGGAGAGTGTTACCAATCAGGACTTGATTTATTGTTGTCTTGATTGTGTAGATTTAAGAACTTTATGAAGAAATGTTAATAACACAGATTAAACTTAAATGTATATCAGGTGCACTTTTTTTTTTTTCCTGGAGAGCCAGCTGTTAAACATCTACCAACATACCACATTGTGTGGTTCAGATTGTTAACTAGTTTGAGGGAATTGTAGGCAATGGTCTAACAATAACAGCAGCCCAACCTCAGAGTGGAAAGAGGGGCAAAACCTCAGAGCTTCTGAAAGGGCCTTTTTCATTTACAGACCGCAGCCCGGAATTGGTTATGCTTTCTAAGGAGGTGGGCTGCAACGTGGTGACCCAAACAATGAAGTGTGACTGGAACAGCAAATACAGGACCATTACCGGAGAGTGCAACAACAGGTGAATGGGGACCCAGGGGAAAGGTGCTCCTCCCCAAGACAAAAGACTAGGCTGCCCTTCCTCATAACCCACCTGCCCTCTAATGCTCCCTCCACCTTCCAGCCAGGGACCAGACCTTCTCAAAAACAGGGCTTAAAGAAAGCGCTTCAGACCTCTTTCCCTTTCTCATCCAGAGTCGCTATGGTAGGGAACACTTAATGGAGATTATCATATTATTCCAGGCAGCTAGGTGCACAATGGATAAAGCGGCGTGGCAGGCCTGGAGTCAGAAAGACCTGAGTTCAAATGTGACCTCAGACACTTCCTAGCTCTGTGACCCTTGGCAAGTCACTTAACCCTGTTTGCTTCAGTTTCGTCATCTGTATAACGAACTGGAGAACGAAATGGCAAACCATTCCAGTATCTTTGCCATGAAAACCCCAAATGGGTCACAACTGAACGACGAAAAATGCATTATTCAAAGAATCTCCACAAAGGCAAAGGGATCCCAAAATCCATTTTAAAATGAACCCCAGTTTAAAAGAAAATGATGCTCAAGGCTCCATTTTCCCATCTAGTACCAATGCTAATAATGACTGACATTAGTATAGTGCTTTCATTTAAGTCTTCTTATTTGATACTCACAACCACCCTTGGAATTAGGGGGGAGAGGGGAAGGATTTCTTTTGCTGAAGTAGGTGACACCATTTTTGCAGCTGAATTTTATGAGTTCATTGCTCTAGGGTGCTCCCTCTACCAATGCAGGTCACATGATCCCTGAACTTCTAGAACTTGGGTCTTAGAAAGGTGCCTAGGGCACTGAGAGGTTCAGGGTCTTAGCCACACTGACAGAGCCAATATGCGGCAGAGGCAAGACTTGAACCCACATCTTCCTGGCCTCCAGGCCAGTTCTCTATCCACTATGCCAGGCTCTATGAAGATTATTATCTCCATATACAGATGGAGAAACTGAGACTGAGAGAGGTCAAGCCAACGTTCTAAATTCAGATCTATTGACACCAGATCCAAAGGTCTTTTCACTGCATCTCATTGTAGGATAGGATAGGATATATAAAATGATATTTATTTCTGACTTCTTTGAAATTAATTAATAAGTATTTATTAAGATCCTCACTGAGTTGAAATCCAGCCTCAGACACTTACTAGCTGTGTGACCCTGGGCAAATCATTTAACCCTGATTGCCTCAACAACAAAAAAAAAAGAGTCCTGGTTTTATTGTGAGTGCACCCTCTACCAAAATATATTGCAACACTTTCACATCTTTGTAGAAGCTCAGCATATGTTCTTTTGGCTGCAAAAACACTCATCACCTGTTGCCAGCCATAGGGTTGGCAGATGCCTTCGAGGCTATTGAGTCCACCTCATCACTTAACAGAGGAGAAAGCTAAGACCCTGATAGGTTAATTAACTTCATTATAATAAATGGCAAAGCCAGGATTCAAACTCAGGTCCTGTGACTCCATGTTCAGCATTCTGTACCATGCTGCTCCTTCCCAAGGGAGATGTTATTATATTAGGTAATATTACATATTATGTTCTGGACAATTAAGATGTGTTCCCCTCCAGATAAATGACTTGTCCCAAACCACACAGCTAGTAAACAGTAGAGTCAGGACTCAGATTCTGATTTATCCTCACAGTTAATTTCCTGCAGTTAGAGTTCTCATTGCCAAAATATAACTAAAGTAGAGCCATCAGAGCTATATTCCAGAGCAAAAAATTTGGAGGGAACACACACAACTATCCAGGGACCCACTCCTTCTGCCTTGCCTGGCACACCCCTTGTGCTCACAATTCAGGGGTCACTCCCTCCCTCTGCAACCAGGAAAATTGGAAGGTGCAGGCAGCATGGTATAATGGAAAGAGTGCCAGATTTGGAGTCAAAGAACCTGGGTTCGAATCTTTGCTCTGCCACTTACCATTTGTATGATCTTGGGTAATCTATCTATTTGACTTCTCTGGGACTATAAAATGAGAAGTCCAAACTAGGTGGACTCGAAGTTTGCTTCTATTCTTAGTTTATGTTCCATGGTTCTTGGCTCCAATTTTCTCCCTTCCTGGCCCACACCCTGCCCCCCCAGCAGAGCCAGTGGCCTCTTTCTAAAGTATTTCTTCCTCCTTGTGGCTACCCCCAGTCTCTCAGCCTCCTCTCTCCACAGTAGTGGCCAGTCTTTCAGCCATATAGAAACCTTGCACCACTTCCTCCTCCCTGGCAAATCACGCTTACCCCCTCCCCACAATCTACCACTACCACCAATTGCTTCAGGCCCAAAAAGTTCCACACACAACTTTGAATTGCTATTCCTCACAGGATCCTGTACTTGGAACACCTCCTAACTCCTCCCTCCCAAAGTCCCTCTCTTCTACTACATGACGGACCTATCTAAGACTATTAGGGCCTACATGAAGGTAGAACTCTGTTCTTTCCTCCATCTCAGAAAGAACCCGGCACTAGGCTCATCAAACAGAGCATTGGTACGATGGCTACCTGCAGAATATGAAGATGGGATTTCTCAGCCTTATGGGTGGACTCCTGGGAAGAAGAGGAATGGCTTCCATCTCCCATTGGTAAGGAGGAGAATTCACTTTCAAGGATAGAGAAATAAGAAAAAGAGACAGAATACTGAATAGATAAATAAGAACTGGAGGATATTGGGATTGAGTAAATGACCATGATTTTGCCTTAATCCTTGGTAAGTTTTCCCAGAGTTCCAGTAGGTGGAAGCAAAGACCACAAGTATCTCCTTGAACTAAGCCAGAGAGAGGGAGGCAGCTGCCCAGCTTGGGTACAGCTAGAATGCCATGTTCTGCATGGCAGATTGCCTCTCTCTCCCATCCTGATCACTCTCATCCTGGTCCTGTACCCTGAATTCAATGTAGGTTGCTTTCCTAGAAGTCTGTCCATCTGCCTTGTCTGAGCAGCTGGCAGACCCTCGGGCACAGCATTCCCCTCTCATCCAAAGCCCATCATATCTTTGGCACTCTGAGGACCATGTGCCTCGGGGCCAGAGCAATCTAGTTCCACTATCCTTCCCATTCTCCAAACACCAGATAATTCACTTCCCTTCTGTCATGCCCTCTCCTCTCACTTTTCCCCTAGGTACGAGAAGTGTCCAATCAGATAGCCAGCTATCTAAATGAGGATGATGATTTTGACCCATTCTGGTCACTGATCCTCATGCAGTGGGGACAGTGGGTGGACCATGACCTCGACTTTGCTCCAGAAACCGAGCTGATGGTTAGTGAGCACACCAAAGAGCAATGTGATGAACACTGCATCCAAGAAGACAACTGTTTCCCCATCATGGTAGGCTCTTTGTGGGATCACCCTCCCTCATGTCTCAGCTTTGTCTTTGAATGCTTTCCTTCCTTGTGGTGGAACGACCTTTGATAATACAGTCTCGGAGCCAGCAAAACCAGAACATGGAGCACCAGTTTAGCAGGGGGTGGACAAAGAGCAGATCAGGACCTCCCAGTAGATATGTAAGTTTTTCCCAGTGGGCTTCATTAAGAGAAGAGCAGGTGTGGGGAGGGTGTCCATTGAAATAATCACACAGTGAGAGTAACAAGATTCTCTATCTCTGTCAAGAATGAAGAATGGTGGTCATGTCCTTTGCCACAGACCCCATCTGGAGTACCAGGCACCATAGTGTAGGAAGGAAACTGAGGATGATGATGATGATGATGATGATGATGATGAAGAAATAACAATAATGAAGCTGATGGCTTGCATTTATATAACCCTTTATGGCTTACAAAACACTCCACATGTATTGTCTCATTTGAGCCTCACAACACCTCCGTGAAGCAGGTGCTATTATTATCCTCATTTTCTAAGTGAGGGAATGGAGAGTCACAGAGGCCGTGTGACTTGTTCCTGGTCACACAGTAAGTATCTAAGGCAGGGCTTAAATCTAGGTGTTCCTGATTCTGAGTCCAGAGCTCTGCCCACTATATACCACGGCCTCTGAGAATTTGCGGGGTGCCAAGAGTTGGACAATCAGGATAGAAAAGGGCCTTGGGTCCATGCCAAGCTGAAGAAAGGGACCTGAGGGATGTCTTTGTGGGGAAGAATTCTAGGCCTGGAGAAGACCTGAGTTGAAATTCAGTCTCAGAGAATTACTAGCTATGTGACCCTAGCTAGTCACTTCATCTCTGTCTGCTGCAGTTTCCTCAACTGTAAAATGGGGATAATAATAGCACCTGCCTCCCAAGGTTGTTGTGAGGATCAAATGAGATAATATTTGTTAAAAGTGCTTAGCATTTTATAGTGCCTGACATATAGGAGGAGCTTAATAAATGTTTTTCCCCCTTTTCTCCTTCCCCTTCATGTATTTGAGGCAGCTGGGAAGCAACAGGGAGGCATGAATTCAAATTGTGCCTCAGACTCTTACCTGTGGGACCTTGGGCAAGTCATTTAACCTCTCTCAGCCTCGGTTTCCTCATCTTTAAAATGGGGATAATAATAGCATCTACCTCCCAAGGCTGTTGTAAAGGTCACATGAGTGAGTTCATAAAGTGCTTTGCAAACTTTAAAGTGTTTTCTAAATGCTACCTCTTATTGTTTGAAGGACTGTTATATGGAAGAAAAACCTTGTTCTACTTGGATAGCGTAGCAATGGATAGAGGTTGCAAAGAAACAAAATTGTTGTTACTGTTATTCGGCCATGTCTGACTCTTCATGACTCCATTTGGGGCTTTCTTGGCAAAGATACTGTAGTGGTTTGCCATTTCCTTCTCCAGATGAGGAAACTGAAGCAAACAGGATTAAGTGACTTGCCCAAGGTCACACAGGTCAAATATCTGAGGCTGAATCTGAACTCAAGTCTTCCTTACTCCAGGCCTGGTGCTCTACCCACTGTGCCACCTAGCTGTCCCAAATCAAGCAAACTTAGGTTCGATGTATAGAAACAGTAACAATTAAAGCTACTCCCTATAGGGGCAGGGGAGGTGGTAGATTCTCCCCATCCACCAGTTCTCATTAGAGGTCCTCAAGAAAAGATTGAATGACCCCTTCTCTAAGTTGTTGTAATGGGAATTCCTTTGGAGGTATGGATTGGACAAGAGAGCTATTGAATTCACTTTCAACCCTGAAATTCTGTGATTCTGTTATTCTTCAAGTGTCTGCTGATGCCACACCACCTACCTTGCCACTTCCCACCTCCATGGAGATTGCTAGGACTCCTGGCAGGGAAGGCATTCTAGCTAAGAATGAGTCTCTTTCCTTGTTTCTGTTGGATTCCCCCATTCTTCTCAGGGACTTCCCTTTCAGCCCAGCTCCTCTGTCCTTCTCCCTCCCTCCCACGGTGATTACAAGGGTTCAGGGAAGGAAATCACAGAATCTTAGAGCTGGAAGATACCTTGACATTCACTCATCTAGTTCAACCTCCTCATCTTATAGATTTGAAGGGCTGTGTGACCCTATTTGACCTCATCTCAAAAGTGAGGAGTCTGAGGCCCGGAGAGGGGAGGTAATTTGCTCAAAGTCACACAGCTGGTAAATGGAAGATATAATACTTGAACTCTGGAGTCTTTTGACTTGAAAAGCAGAATTCTTTCCATTGTACTAACATTTTCCCTTTCCCCTATGAAAAGTAGCTCCTTCACAAAAAAAAATGGGGACCCCTGTGCCACAGGAATCATCAGCTCTCCCTCCATTCACATACTTGAATTCTAGAACACCAGTGTAATTTTTGAAAATTTTACTGATATGTTTTATTTTTCCATCACCCTCATTTTCTGACAGCTCACCCTGGCCCCTCCCAAAGAGCCACCCTTTAAAATAAAGAACAGAAAGAGAGAAAAAAGAGTTCAGAAAAAAACTAATCAACACATCAACCAAGTTCACCATTGTATATGCGGGACCACTAATGTAAATTGTGGCCATCAGGGTTTAGTAAACATGGTCTTATGGATAAAATTCCTAAATGAGCTAAATAGTCAATAAATCAATACCTACTATGTGCCAGGCACTATGTTAGAGAGGCGACCCATACAACTTGTATACAGACAAATATGTACAAAACCCATATGCTTTATTATATCCCTGGAAATGAGGGCTTCTGATAAGATAGGATGGGCCCAGTCTTGCCAAACCTGCTGAGGTGCTTCCTGTTATCTATTTTAGTTTCCACCTGGTGACCCCAAGTTGAATAAGCAAGGACCTTGCATGCCCTTCTTCCGGGCTGGATTTGTCTGCCCTACAGACCCCTTCAGTTCATTGGCCCGAGAGCAAATCAATTCCCTGACTTCCTTCCTGGATGCCAGCATGGTCTATGGACCTGAACCACTCCTAGCCAACAAACTCCGAAACACAAGCTGCCCCCTGGGCCTGATGGCAGTCAATGAGGAATACTCTGATAATGGATTGGCCTTCCTACCCTTTGACTACAAGCTTCCCAGTCCCTGTAAATTCATCAATGCCACTGCTGGAGTCCCCTGCTTCTTGGCTGGTGAGTCCTATTGGCATAGTGCCCATATTTGCCAAACCAAAAATTGGTGCCCATCATCCAATAAAAGATACTCCTTTTGTAAAACCGCACTAAAAGTATACTTTCCTTTCTTGAAATTGGGACTGTCCTGGAAAATGTGGGACATATGGTCTGCTATACCTACTGAGAAGCAGAGAATGAGGGCCAAGAGAAAGGAGGGGGAGGACATTGTAAGAGATGGTGCAAGGACAAGAAATGGGACAGTCTACCAGCCATAAAACAGACCAGGAAAATTCACATGACGCCACAAGGCAGTTTTCAGGAGGAGAAAAGTCCCTACTGTTACCTTCTCACCTATATCCAGGGAAAATGAAATAGAGCAGATTATCCTATAGGCACTGGTCAAAAGCCCAGTTGGCTTTGTGGGTAGGCATAGGACAGGATAATAGAACTGGAGCAAGAAGGAAACTTAAGGTCTATCCATGAACCAGATCTTCCAAGGGAACTGGAAGACTGTCAAGTCCAACCCCCTATTTGAAGATGAGAGAAATTAAGTGATTCACCCAAGGTCTCACAGCTAGTAAGTATCTGAAGCAGGTCTTACCGACTCCAGGTCCAATGCCCTGACCACTACACCACATTACCTTTCTGTACCATGCTGACTCTCAATGCTGTCAGGAGGTGGTAAATAAGGTCAACAATTATCTTGAGAGCCCCAGGGCCCCAGATAAAAACTGGGGAAGAATCACATTGAGGGAGTCTGGAAGAACAGAGATATCCCAAGGAAAAGAGCTGAAGAAAGCAGAGGTGTGTTTTAAGAGGCCTAGAGACAATGGCCTGACTGAGGCAGGCTGAGAGGCTTCCTGTGGATCGCCTAATAAGATGTCTGGATACTCACTACACAAGTTATCATGGGGTTAGAATGGAAGAAGATGAGATAAGAAGAAAATGATTTTGGGCCTTTATCTCTCTCACCTATACTGTTGTAATAGCCTTCTAAACAGTATCCATGCTTCTCATTTCTCCTCTTTCCAATCTACCCTCCTCATAGCTTCCCAAGCAATATTTCTAAAACACAGATATAGCCATATCACTCCTCTGCTCAAAAACGTTCAGTGACTCCCTATTTCCTCTGGGATAAACCACAAAATTCTTCTATCTATGTAAAGTCCTCCACCAACTGGCTCCCAGCAATCATTCTAGTCAGTCGTATTTCATAGTATTCTCCCCTATGCATTCTCCTTTCCACTCATCCTGGCCTATTAGCCATTAGACATATGGGAAATCACATCTGCCCAGGTGGAGCCTCTACCTGGAATGGTCTTCCTCTTCACCTCTGCCTCTTAGAATCCCTGGCTACCTGGAGGCATCGAGGTGGCCTGGTGGAGAGAGCATTGGGCCTTGAGTCAGAGAGACCTGAGTTCATATCAGATCTCAGATGCTTACTAGCTATGTGATCCTGGGCAATTGGTTTAACTTCAGTCTGCCTCAGTTTCCTCAACTGCAAAATGTTGTTAGGATTAAATGAGATAATATTTGTAATAGCACCTGACACATAATAGTCATGTAATAAACACATATTTCCTTCCTTCAAAGCACAGTTCAGGTGCCACCTCTTACTAGAGGCTCTTCCTTATTCCCATAGCCATTTGTTCTGTCTCTGTCTCTCTCTTAAAATTGTTTTGTAGTTATTTATCTATGTGCATGTTATATATCCACATACACTCCCCAGTAGAATGTAAACTCCTTGAAGGCAGAGACTATTTTATTTTTGTCTTCATATTCCCTACTGCCATGCACACTTAGTCCATAAAACAAATTAAATGGAGTTGAATTGAAATGACCTGAAAGCAAGTCACATGTGATAAGGAACCTAGATCCTAAGGTGATTCCCTTTGTTTCTCCTGCCTCCCCACTCTTCTCCCTATACCTGGGCCCTGTGACTGTTGAGGAATCCAAAAGCTTCTTTGGTTTTCCTAGGTGATTCCCGGGCCAATGAACAGACTATGTTGGCAATCTTCCACACCATGTTTTTACGGGAGCACAACCGGTTGGCTAGAGAGCTGAAGAGGCTCAACCCCCATTGGGATGGAGAAAAAATCTACCAGGAAGCCCGGAAAATTGTGGGTGCAATCACACAGGTAGGGAAGGAGATTGCATACTCATATCTGTTCTGCTGTGGTCTTTTTTAATGTAATGTTTATTTTATTTAACTTTCTTTTCAATTAATAAGCACTTATTTTCTCTCTTTCCTATTCTCTCTCATTGGGGAAAAAAGAAAAAGAAAAAACAAAACCCTTGAAATAAATATGTGTAGTCAATTCCTATATTGGCCCTGTCTTAAATGTATTTCTTATTCTGAATCTTGAATCTTGAATCCATCACTTCTCTGTCAGAAAGTGGGTAGTATGGTTCATCACTGAACCATACTGGAATCATAGTTGGTGATTGCATTGATCAGAGTTCTTAAGTCTTTCAAAGTTGTTTGTCTTTATGAAATTGTTGTCAGTGGATCCATTTTTCTGTTGATTCTGCTCACTTCACTCTGCAGCAGTTCCTACAAACCTTCCCAGGTTTCTCAGAAACCAAACCCTTTTTATCAATTCTTAGAGCAAAATAGCAATTACATTCCCTCCCCCAGCTGGTAGGCATCTCCTTAGTTTCTAGTTCTTCACCATTACAAAAAGAAGTACTATAAATAATTTTGTACAAATGGGCCTTTTTTCCTCTTTCGTTGTGTTCTTTGGAGTATAGACCTGGTAGTGATATCACTGGGTCAAAAGGTACATATGATTTGTTGACTTTTCAGTCATTGTTCCCAAATGTTTCTCAGAATGACTGGACCAATCCACAATTCCATCAGCAGTGCATTAGCTTGTTTGTTTTCTCCTTTGCTCTAGTCTGCCTGGAGAGGTACTTCTCTCAGTTCAGCACCACATCCCTTCTTCCTCTTTTCCTTACCTCTGTTTTCCTTTTCTATCTTCTCCCCCCTCCCTCATTCCTTTTATTTCTTCTTCTGCCACTGTTCCATCTCCTCTTTCATCATTCAGCTTTCTAGCCCCAAATAAAACACTGGATTTGCAGCATCCCAGAATCACTTTTGTGCTCCTATCACTCAAGTTTTTCCCAGCTCTGCTACTTACCAGCGGTGAGATTCTTAACCTCTCTGGACCTGCTTTGTCTCCTAAATGGGAGTGTTTAATATTTGCACCACAAATGTCCCTAATTCAGATGCCATCTTGAACTGGAAGCCATTCCTGAAAGCCTTAGTTATTAGGAGTTAGGTAATATGGTTCATTTCTGGTCCTCTAGAATCATAGCTGGTGATTGCATTGACCAGACTCTTTAAATCTTCCTAAAAGTCTTAGTCATTAGGGTTCTTTCCCTCCTCAAATTATTGTGCATGTGCTTATCTGTTTATATGTCTAGCCACCACTATCACTGCTCCTCTCCATGAAATGGAAAGTGAGCTCCTTGAGAGCAGGGGCTGTTTTTGAACTTGTTGGCCTGGATTGCTATCTAAGGCCTCATCCAGCTCAAATATTCTCCAACTATGGGATAGAGTTAGAGACTAAGCTAGGGATTGCATTGGTATAGGAAATTCCTTCTAATAATGCAGGTCTGTACCTTTCCTACAACTTATAGTCTTAAGAGCAATGAAGGGTTAAGTGAGTTGCCCAGGGGCACACAACTAGTATGTGTCAGAGGCAGGACCTGAACCCAGGTCTTCTTAGCTTTGGGGCTGGCTCTCTATCCACTTCATTATGCTGCCTCTCTGCGGTCCTATGGAAAATTCAGCCTTTTTGACTTGTCTTCTATAGAAACAGAAAATGGCTATCCTCTCCCAACCAGATCATCTCTATTCACCATCACCAATAGCACGATCTCTGTTCAGAGACAGACTGTTTAATTAGCTTCGTCAAAGATTTCCTCCCTCAGACCTAAAGGTCTCAACCCTCTGTCACCTGTTCTCCTCGGCCCTTTTCTCCCAGGTTATCACCTTTGAAAATTACCTGCCTTTGGTGCTGGGGAAGGAGCTAGAGAAGGAGATTCCCAAGTACAAAGGCTACGATGAATCAGTGGATCCCAGCATTGCCAATGTCTTCACCATGGCCTTTAGATTCGGTCATACTGAGGTCCCATCTATTATCCACCGACTGGATGAGCATTATGAGCCCTGGGGCTCTGAACCAGAGCTTCCCCTGAATACTCTCTTTTTTAATACCTGGAGGATTATAAAAGACGGTAAGTGTCTCCCCGGAGGGCTGTTCCCACCACTCCCTGCACCTCTACTGCCTCCCTCTCCAACTTGCTCTAACCTTCACCAGACTGCCCACTCATTCCCAACAAGAAGGGTCTCAAGGGGTATCTGACTTATTTGTTCCCTTATTTACGTGGGTCAGATTTCTGTGAGCACTATAGGAAGATTCAATGGGCGATGACTTCACTTAATGCTTCACAAACTATATCCCGCAAAATCCAAATGATATAACACCTTTCCATGTTAAAAATTCAGCACTAGTGATGTTTTTCCCCTCTGAGGTATTAAATGTGAAGTTATTTACACATACAAAAAATGAATTTTGAGGCAATTTTCAGTATGTAATTAGGTTTGCTTTGTATAGCATATTGAGTACTGGACTTGGAGACAGGAAAACCTGGTTTCAGATTCTGCCCCTGACATTTCCAAGTTATGTGCCTGTAGACAAGTCCCTTTATTGCTCTAAGCCTCAGTTTCCTCGTCTGTGAAATAGAGACAGTAATATCTATAGCAGATCTTTTGCAGGGTTGTTGTGGGGCATCAAATGGAATCGTATATATGAAGCGCTTTGCAAACTTTAAAGCACTACACAAAATATTATTATTTGTTTTGTTTCCTAATTCCCTCAATCTTCCTTTTTTCCCAGATAGTCCATAACTTCAGACCAGCACTTATGGTTTCATCAGTTGAAAGCCCTAAAGATTTCTATATTTTATATACAATTCTTTTTAATGAGACTTTAACTCAAGTTCCCTCTCTGTAAAATGAAGGCATTGGATTAGAGGAAGACTAAAGTACCTCTAAGGGGCAGTGAGGGGGCACAATGGATAGAGTGCCAGACCTGGAGTCAGGAAGACTCATCTTCCTGAGTTCAAATCTGGCCTCAAACACTTACTAGCTTTGTGACCCTGGGCAAGTCACTTGACCCTGTTTGCTTCAGTTTGCTCATCTGTAAAATGAACTGGGGAAGGAAATGGCAAACTACTCCAAGTATTTTTGCCAAGAAAACCCCAAATGGGGTCAGAAAGAGTTGGACATAACTAGAACAACTGAACAAAAAAAAAGGTCCCTCTTGGATCTCACCTTCCATGATTCTGTGACAATAATCCTAAGATTTGGAAATACCTTTAAGAGGGATTGCGATAGAGCCCTGGGTCTCTGTTGTTCAATTGTAAAGAGTCAGCCCCTGCAGCTATTCCTCTTCCCTCATTGCCAGGATAAAGTCGTGGGATCATGGGATCACAGAGGCCTTGAAGGCCCTCTAGTACAAGCCTATCATTTTACAGACGAGATAACTGAGGTTCAAAGAGTGACTTGCTCATGATCCCACAGCTAATAAATGTCAAGGGGCAGGATCTGAACCAAGATCTTCCTATTTCCAGGGCCAGCATGCTATCTACTAGGCCATTCTGCCTCTGGCAGTCTACCTAGAATCATCCCCAGGACTCAGAATGTTTCTCCAGGACCACAGTTAAGGGTTCTTCTCCTACCCCCATGTTTCTAATGATGGGGAGGTGACTTAAGGCAGCTAATAATGGAGAAGGAGGTCACTTAGACTATCTGGTGGTCAAAATGACCAGAGGTCAAAATATATGTGTTCAATCCATAATATATGATCACTAAGACAAAGTAAAGATCTTCCCTTCTCCCTACCCAGATTGCTTTTTTCGTGGCTTGTTTTCCTTTTGAGCCTAGCGTGTCTTAAGGTTCAGGGAGTGTCATGTCTCTGGCTATCTCGTTACAGGTGGAATTGACCCCTTTGTCCGTGGCATGCTGGTCAGTCCCTCCAAGTTGTTGAAGCAAAATAAAATAATGAGCAGTGAGTTGCGAGACAAGCTTTTCCAGCCAACTCACAAGATCCACGGATTTGACTTGGCCTCCATCAACATGCAGAGAGGGCGGGACCATGGGCTGCCAGGTGAGAAAGGCCTGGATATAGAGCCTATAACCAGGCAACCCTCTGCTTTTATATAGGGCTCCTGAAGGTTCTTTATACCGAGTTCAGTATTGGGAATTCAGGCCATCTTAAAATTGCAGAGGGTTGCTGGTGTCTGTTCTTAAGATTCACTTTCCCCATTTCACAGATGGAGGATCTTGAGTAATTCCCTAGACCAGTCTGGGTCTCAGTTTCCTCATCTATAAAATGAGACCAGATTGTCTTTTTTAATTTATGGAATAAAACAAGAATTTCCTTAATTTAGTACAATTTAAAAAGATGATTGCACATGAAACCATAAATTCACTATGTACAACCTGATATTCCTTTGAAATATGCAACAAAGTTATCACGTAAATTTCCTTTTTCTCCCCCCTCCCCCACTTCAGAGATGGCTACCATTAGACACAAATAAGCATATGTGTGTGTATGTGTATGTATGTACGTATGTATGTATATATGTATCTATATATGCATGTAAAATTATTCTATACATCTATTTATCAGTTCTTTCTTTGGATGTGGATAACGTCTTTCTTTATATGTCCCTTATAGTTAATTTGGATATTTATAATAGTCAAAATGACTTAGTCGCTCAAAATCATTCTTAAAATTGCTGGCCAGATTGGATTAGATGACTACAGTTTCTTGGAGCTCTAAGATCCTCTGATCTTCTACCCCTCTGTGGCACACAGCTATATTTTTTTAAATGTCTAGCTCTGATCAATGCAGGGATCAGTTATGACCTTAAGCTGCAGAGAAGGTGCCAATCAGCATTGGTAGAGGGAATTTTCTCACCTGAGAGTTTCGAAAGTTGACTAAAATACTGGGAGCTAAGTGACTTGTCCTGGGACACACAGCTACTATGTGTCAGAAGTGAAATTTGAACCTGGGTTTTCTTGGCTTCAAGGCCAGTATTCCATTTACTACATCAGGGCTGCTTCTTCTAACAGTTCGTATATACTTTTAACTAAGTATACATAACAGGAAAACAATAACTGTTATTGTCTCAGAGTACCAGTAATAAACTAAATTAAAAGTGTTAAAAAATGATTAAGAGGGCTGGGGGAAGAGCTCAAGAAAGGAGAGTAGGGGTGGAGTGAGGAGGTAGGAAAAGCTTATTTCTGCTGCTTTGGCCTCAGACGCTTACTGTGTGACCCTGGGCAAGTCACTTAACCCTGTTTGCCTCAGTTTGCTTATCTGTAATATGAGCTGGAAAAGGAAATGGCAAACCACTTCAGTATCTCTGCCAAGAAAACTCCGAATAGGTTGTGAAGTCAGACAAGACCGAAACTACTGAACAACAACAAAGCATTCTCATTCTGGATAGTGCCTTAATCAAGAACGTGTGTGCAGAACCATAACTAAGGTAGGCAGCTAAGACTCTGTCCCAGTTCGAGAGCTGACAACACTTGCAGTCAAACAATAAACATTTATTAAGCGCCTACTATGTTCCAGGCACCCAACAGCAGGTTATTGCAGTAATCCAGGTGTGAGGTGATGAGGGCCTACACCAGAGCTGGGGCAGTGTTCAGAAGAGAGAAGGGAGCATTTATGAGAGATGTTATAGAGGTAAAATCAACAGGCCTTAGCAACAGATGGCATGAAAAATAGTGAGGAATCCAGGATGACTCCTAGGCTTTGAGTATGAGGAACTGGAGGGATGGTGCTGCCCTTCTTTAACCACTAGAAACGACAGGGCTTAGCGCCTAGTTAACAAAAATGAATAGCTAAAATAAAGCTAAACTCTTTTTTTTGTTTTTTTTTTGGTGAGGGGTGGGGAAAGGCAATAGGATTAAATGACTTGCTCAGAGTCACACAGCTAGCGTCTAAGGTCAGATTTGAACTCAGGTCCTCCTGACTGTAATACTGGTAGTCTATCCGTTGTACTGTCTAGCTTCCCCATTACTACTCTATTTAATCAACTCCATTGGCTCTCATTTTACCTCCAAGATCAAATATAAAGTACTCTTTATATCTGAGTCTTAAAGCCCTTCACAGCCTGGCCCCTTCCTACCTTTCCTGTCTTCTTACACTGCCTTCTCTTCCATATACCCTATGATCTAGAAACCCCTGCCATCTTACTATCCCTCGTACACAAGACTCCATCACCCAATTCTTGGCATTTTCACTGACTATCCCCCTGTCTGAAATGTCCTCCCTTCTCACTTCTGCCTGCTGGCTTCCTTCAAGACTGAGCTCAAATCCCACCTTCTGCAGGAGGCTTTTCATAGTCTTCCTCACTGTTTGTGCCTTCTTTTTGAGATTGCCTTCCCTCAACTTTATCTCTAACCTATATGCATATAATTGTATGCTGTCTTCTGTATTAGAATATGAGCTCCTTTGAGGTCCAAGATCATGTTTTTGCCTTTCTTTCTATCTCCACAGTGTCTTTCTTTCTATAGCACAGTGTCTGGCCCATAATAAGAATTCAATAAATTCTTGTCTATTGATTGACTGTGTCTACCTTCCCCCCTAACCCAATCCCCAGGGTACAATGCCTGGAGACGCTTCTGTGGCCTCTCGCAGCCTAAGACGGTAGAAGAATTGAGTATTGTGTTGGGAAACAACCGGAAACTGGCTCAAAAGTTCATGAAGCTGTATGGGACCTCAGACAACATTGACGTGTGGATTGGAGCCGTTGCTGAGCCCTTAGTGCCAGGGGGCAGAGTTGGGCCCCTCCTGAGCTGTCTCCTGGGGAGGCAATTCAGAAAGATCAGAGATGGAGACAGGTGAGTGTCCTCAAGCTAAAAAAATGAGATGGAAAAAATAGAAGTGATTTTAACAGTATCAAGGGACATCATGAAATAGCAGAAAGAAAACAGGACTAGAAGTCTTAAGAGCTGGGTTCTAGTACTTCCACTAACCACCTCTCACCTTAGATAGTCTCTTGCCTTCTCTAGGCCTCAGTTTTCTCTTCTGTAAATTATGGGGTTTGAATTCTGAGGCTTTTTCCAACTTCAACATTCTATGACTCTAGATCTTCTTGGCATAAGGGTGGAACTTTTTTATCCTCCCTAGTATTAGTGATAAAAGTTCTTCCCTCTTTTTCATTTTTATTCCCCTTGGTGACAGACTTTTGTACCCCACAGGAGGGAGAAAAGAGAGAACCTAGTAAGGGAAGGATATTCTTAGACGGGTTTCTAAATTAAAGACTGTTTCTATCCCTCTCTGCCCCACCTCAAGATATACACATGCACATACATCACCCCCTGTCAAGGAAGAATCTGTCAAAGTCTTTCACTTAAGGCCCATTATTAACATCTCATTTTTATGCCACAGCCTTCTGGCTTCCAAACTAGCACCCACCCAAGTACATGGGTCCATTGGCAAGTGAGTGTTTCTGAGATTAAGTGAGGTTTAGTCCATAAGTATATACAACATGCAAGTTTGAGGACCACAGCCCAAGTCTTTCAAGTCCTTAAAGGACTGTCATGTAGAAGACAGATTACCCCGCTTTTGTTTGTCCCAAATGGGAGAACCATGAGAAATGGTTAGAAGTTGCAAAGGGGTAAATATTGACTAGATGTTCAACATCCCAAGGTGAAATGGGCTCCCGTCATAAATAATGGGTTTACCCTCTCTGAAGGTCTGTAAAGCAGAAGCTCAATGACCATGGTTTGGTTGTGTTGTAGAGGGGATTCCTGCTCAGGAATTCTCCTGAATCCTGCTAAGCCGCCTGTAAGGTCCCTAGCTGGTCAGAGGCTCTGTGGGTTTGTTTTTTGGGTTTTTTTTTTGGTCCTGGGGCAGCAGGGGGAGTGCCATTTGGAGACCTTCTTTCCTCCCCTGTAGGTTCTTTTGGAAGAAACCTGGAGTATTCACCCCACAGCAGCAAGCAGCCCTGAAAAAAGTCACCTTTTCTCTCCTGGTCTGTGATAACACCCACATCACAGAAGTCCCCATCAATGCATTCAAGGCCAACAGATACCCTGAGGACTTTGTGAACTGCTCAAATATTGAGAAGCTGGACCTTTCCCCCTGGGTCTCGAGGACAGATTAAGGCAATACCAACAATGAGACATCAATCTTCTCAAGTTCATCAAGCACCATTAAGAAGGTGCCCCACCCTGTTCATGGCACTATTTCAGGGAAGTTAAACCTGACTCTTTTGATTGGTATTTGAGGCCCTACTGGGGCTAATCTGGTCCTAAACTACCTTTCCAATCTTTTCTCCCAGTATTCCTAAAATGGTGCCTCTGATCCAGCTAAACTGGTTGACCCTGTTGATGGAATGTGCCTAACACATCCTGTCCCTGTCCCCAAGCCTGTGCTCATCGTGCCTCCTCCTGTCTTTTCTGCCTATCAAAATCCTGTTTGTCCTTCCAAGTCCAACCCAAGTCTATTTCCTCATGAAGCTTTTCCTGGCACTGCTAATTGGCACTGATCAAAGTCTCTCTTTCGTCACCTTTCCCTTTACTTGCTTGGGCATCTTTCTGTACTTCTCTTATCTCCCTGGAAAGACCAGGCACTCTTCTAGGGTAGGGAAAGGGGTCAAATTCATCCTTGTATAGTAGTCACTCCATAAATATTCCTTGACTGATGGATTGATTGAAGCTGTGATTTCAACAGTGCAATTATGCATCACAGAATGCAAAGGTCTCTGTAATAAACTTAATAAAGAGTGAAATCCTCGCAGACCAGGAATATTTTGTATCCAGAAGAACTCAAGAACTTCCAGAGCAGGATGCTGCACACATACATTGGCCAAAACGGTCACTGGACTGGTTGTTTTTGTTAACTCCTTTTCTCATTAACTAGGGAAATTTCAGTTTGGGGAGCTTGGGAAAGTGATAGGGTTATGAGGAAATGACAGTAGTGTTCAGACAAAAGGCATTAATTAAGGTTAGTTTAAAAAGAAGAACCCAGGGACACAGGGAATAATCAACACTAGTGTTTATATACCACTCTGAGTTTTGTGATGCGCTTGGCCTGTATTTTCTCATTTGATCCTCACAACAACCCTACCCGATAAAATTAGTTTCCTCATTTTACAGATCAAGCAACTGAGGCTGGGAGATGTTAAGTGACTTGCCCACAATCATCCAGCTAGTAGATGTTTGAGATGGAATTTGAAATCAGGTCTTTCTGATTCCAAGTCCAGAGCTCTACCTACTGGCTGAGAGGGCTTAAGGTCTTTGGCTAGTGAGAATTGGGCAGAGTGATACTTTAGGAGGTAAGTTGTTCTTGGTGAACCTAAAGCAGGGGGTTTTAAGTTTTGGGGTATCACAGACTCCTTTAGCAGTCTGGTGAAGCCTATGGACCACTTCTCAGAATAAAGTTTTTAAATGTATAAAATAAAATACATGGGATTACCCAAAAAAAGGGGCACAGTGGATAGAGAGCTGGATCTGAGTTAAAATCTGGCCTCAGAATAGCTGTGTGGCCCTGGGCAAGTCAGACGCTGTTTGTTTCAGTTTCCCCATTTGTAAAATGAGCTGGAGAAAATGGCAAAACTTTGCCAACAAAACCCCAAATGGAGTCACGAACTGAAACCACTGAACAACAAAAGGATTATGAAGGAATCCAAATGTTAGTGAAAGTAATTTTTTTTTCCTGATCCAAGTTCACCGACCCCTTAAAATCTATTCAAAGACCTGTGAATAGTGGGCAAGGGAAACCCGTGGACCACCGGTAAGAACCCCTGCCCCAAGGCCAGAATGAATACCCTTCCTAGTGCCAACTCAACTCCATACCCCAAAATGCCATCTGTTTCCCCTTCCCCTCTTCCCACTTAATACTAGAGAACAGGTCACTAAACAGAGAGGGAAAGGAACCAAACTGGGTGTGTTAGCACTATTATTTCTTATTCTTAGGCTGTGAGAACCTTTGGAGAAACCCTGAGGGAGAATCATTAGATTCACCCTTTCTGGGGAATTCTACTGCCTCTCCCCATGACCTGTAAAGTATTACACTTTGATAACCATAAATTTACTACTTACATATACTAAAACTACAGAGCTCTGGAAGCTGAATTTCCCTCCCAAAAAGTCCATGTAGGTGAGGGGAAGAGAAGGAGTCCAGCAGCCAGACAAATAAAGCTAGAGCCTAGGCCCAGGCTTTGGAAAGCAAAGCTAGGACTGAAAGAAATGAGGCTTTGGGAGAATGTGCAAGCTAATACTTATGTTTTGCCCTGTCACCTCCCTAATCCATCCTATCGTACAAGGCCTCACAGTGGCTGATCTAACACAGGAATGATAAGTTTTCCCAAAGAGGGGGGATCTGTCCCCTGTCCAATCCATATCCTGCCCTGTCACCGTGAACATGCTTAGGGAAAGCAATTCTGAATACGCCTTGTACTCTTCTCAAAAACCCTGTGAGGTAAGTTGTGTAAGTGTTAGTACCCATTTTTAGCTAAGGAAACTGAGTTACAAAGTTGAACTAACTTTCTCAAGGTCACATAACTAGCTAGTATTAAAAGGCAGGAATTAAATCCATGTCTTCTAAGTTAGTCAACAAGCATTTATTAAACCCTTACTTACTCTGTGCCAGACTGGGTGCTTTTCCTTTCTTTTCTTTCTCCATTAAAAGATACTTTTCTGACTTGTATGAATTGATGCAAAGTGAAATGAGCAGAACCAAGAAAACATTGTACACAGTAACAGCAATATTATAAATGATTAACTATAAATGACTTAGCTCTTCTCAGCAATACAATGGTCCAAGATGATTTCAAAGGACTCATGATGGAAGATACTATACACATATAGATGAAGGACTGATGGACTCTGAATGCAGATCAAAGCACACTTTTTTCACTTACTTTATTATTTTTTTCATTTTTTTTCCTTTTGGCGTGTTTCTTCTTTCACTACTGTGACCAATATGGAAATATGTTTTACATGATTGCATATATATAACCTATATCAAATTGCTTACCATTTTAGAAAGGGGAGGGGTGGGAGGGAGGGAGAACAATTTTGAACTCAAAATCTTGTAAAAATGAGTGCTAAAAATTGTCTTTACATATAATTGGGGAAAAATAAAATATTATTTTTAAAAGATTTTTTTACAACACATCATTTCCCAAAATACTCCACCTACCACTGAACCTTCTCTTGAAACTAAGAAAAACAAACAAAACTGACCAACAGCCATGTCTGACAATACTAGCGATGTCCTATGCCTATAGCATCCCCCTGCCTGAAATCTACCACGAAAAGGGATATGCGTGTGCGTGTGCATGTGTGTGTGGGTGTGTATTATATATATATTATATATATGTAATATATATAATATATATATATTTCATCCTCCGTTCTTATAGATCAGAGGATATCTTGGATGCCAGGCTTTTATCAGAGATATTTGAACCAAATATTTTTGCCAATTGACAGCTACTCTTCTTGACCTAGCCACATTGATTTTGTTGCTGTGTGCTCCCCAAGTCTTTTAATTTTACATAATTTAAATTGTCTGTTTTGTTTTATATGATCTGCTCTTTCCTTGCTTAGTTAAGAATTCTTCATCTAACCATAGATATGAAAGATAGCTCCTTCTATATTCTTCTAACTTTTTTATGATATGACCTTTTATATTTAGGTGTTGATGTTTCCTCAAATACCCTAACTTTACAGTTCCTTAATCTTCTCAACTCCCACAACCTACTCCTCCACTCTAACTTACTGCACACACGGGATAATCACATGCTTACTCTTGCTGTCTCCCACAATTGTTCCAATTATCTGATCAAGAATTGTGAAATTTTTTTATCCTATCATAACCTATTTTTCCACCTCTACCTATTCTTTTTGTTTAGTTGTTTTTCAATAGTGTCTGACTCTTTGTGACCCCATTTGGGGTTTTCATGGCAGAGATACTAGAGTAGTTTGCCATTTCCTTCTCCGGCTTACTTTGCAGATGAGCAAACTGAGGCCAACAAGGTTAAGTGACTTGCCCAAGGTCACACAACTGGTAAGTATCTGAGGCCAGATTTGAACTCAGGAAAATGAGTCTTCCTGACTCCAGGCACGGCATTCTATCTTCCTCACCACCCAGTTGCCCCAAATATGATATTCACCTACTTAATAAACTCTGGTGGCTTACTATTACCTCTAGGATCACATGTGAATGTCTGCCTGGCATTTAAACTCCTTCACAAAATGGACCCAACCTATCTTTCCAGTTTTATTATATATTACTTCCCTTCACAAACATTATGGTCCAACCAAACTTTTCTTCATGCTTTTCCTCATGCACAGCACTTCACCTCCAATCTCTGTGACTTTGCAATGACTGGCCTCTATGCCTAGAATCACACTCCTTCCTTACCTCAGGAAGTCTCTGATTTCTTTCAAGACTCAATTCAAGAGTTACCTTCTACACAAAGTCTTTCCTTATCCCCTAGCTACTAGTGCCTTCTCCTTCCCCCCCCCGATGATCTTGTATCTCTTTTGTAAATACCTATTTCTGTACATATTTATTACCCCAGCTAGATCGTAAGCACCTCAATGACAGAAAGTGGTTTTACTTTTGCCTCTGTATCCCTAAAATACAGTACAGTGTTTGTCATACTGTAAGCATTTAAATTAGGAACTCTTTCTTTAGCAATTGGAAGGATGGCTCCTTGAGTTCAAAGACCTTAAAAATGAGGATGAGACTTGATCAGTTTATCTTACCCATTTGAAAACCTTCCTCTGATAACAAAAGCCTCAAACAAGTGATTACTTGGTATCTGCACTAGGGAAGGGGCAAAGTAACCCACACACAAGATTTACATGTCCAAAAAAATTTGACTAAATGTGATTCTGTATCTAACTAAGGTCTGCAGGAGTGGAAATAGAAGCGAGATGCTGCAGTCCTCCAAATTCATATCCACAGTGGGCTGGTGGTATGGCAATCCCAAAGATGCCTTCGCAGAGTTCTCTTTTTGTATAAACAAAGCCTCATATTGATGTGTGTCAGAGATGCTCCCTCTTTTTCAGGGATTCCAAGATGGTGACGGGTGAAGCAAAGTGTTATCTAATTATCTCAACTTCCAGATCAGGGATCTTTAAATATAGTAGCTAGTTGAAAGAGATGAGAACTGAAGAGTGAAATGTTTCCTGATTTATCTAAGGTTTCCTAACAAGGAAGTCATGGAGGGTCTTATCTATGATTTGAGGTACCATAGGACCAACTGGGTCCAGGTGGACACTTTATCTGTAAAGTTATTGAAAAGAATGGGAGAAACTTTTTTGGTTAGTTATAGGGGTAAATGCAAAAAGCAAGGAATAAGTAACACTTACAGGATATATCCCAATTATCCAATAAGTGCAAAGAGCATGACTTTAGGTTATTCTCTCAAGGGAGGACTCAAAGGCCTTATAGAGGTCCTTATGCTTTTTCCCTACCCTCTTGAAATTTTAAATATGAAATGCTGACTCAGATTCCATAGGGGAAGGAGGGAATAGGCTTATATCCAAAAAGAGGAACAGAGGAATAAAGGTCTTACTTATGAATATTGCTATGTACACATGCAGACATGTCAAAAATGTTGATTCATTTACATTCCTCAAAGTGAGGAAGGATAACCCTTATAGTTACAAAATTCTGAAAAACAAAACCATACACTCATACATACAAAAGAAGGCATATTGAATTAGAGCCCAAATATTATGGGAAGTATCGAAGCAGTTAAGGTTTGGGTGGCCCTACCA